CATTGACTACAGAGCTCTTCTTTAAGCACCATGACATCAAATCTGTTTTCAGAGCAAAATTATTTTGCAAATGTTTTTGAATATTTTGTGAAAAATACTAATCCATTAACTTACTAAATGATGTGCATTTAGTATGCCAGAAAAATAACTGAAGTGGAAGTGAGAAATTGTTATTTATTTATTGTATGGGGGGAGATTATTGATGTTTCATGCTATGTACATATTCACTGGGCTTAAATTGCAGCAAAAATGGTGTTTTTATAAATAAAGCATCTTAAATCTTATTTTATGCATTTAAAAATTTAACATTTATTGGAAAAATACAGTAAACCTAATATTTTTCTTCTTAAAAATCTTTCAGTTCTTTTGGTCATCGGAAATGGGCAGCTTACTAAAGAGTACAAAGAAATGCTTATTTTGTTTGATAGTGCAGGGATTTTTTGTGAGCACACATTTAGGCTGAGATGCAATAATAACTTACCATTATTTTAAGCAGTGGAATATAAGAATTCATTTCAACTAATATTAAGCATGACACTAATTCAGAATTAAATGCTAAGCACATTAGCAATTATGGTACAGTGCACTATTACTTTCCAAGTCTCTGCAGTAAGTTTTTCATCATTAATGGTTTATTTTTTTCTTTTCCATGCAAAAATAATCATTTCAAATAGTATAACTTCAAAGCAGCCCAACTATTAGAATGTGTACTTATATCAATTTAAATATACCTTCCTTATGGCCAAATATACCCACCTAACACAATCATAAGACTATTTCTATAGAGGTTAATCAAATAGCAAGGGCTGGAATTATTGGGCTTAATCCATAGGAAACCAATCTAAGTTCCAGTTTCTATAAAAACAATGAAACCAAAAGAAAGCCTTGAATCCTTGTCTAATTTATCAAAGCATAATTAAAATTCTATTCTCTGACTCATCCCCTTTACAGTCCAAAGACAATTTCTGTGGTGTATTATTATACATTGATATAGGATGATTGCTTTCCTAAAACATATTCACACCAACGAATATGTAATTGGGTTTGCAATGTGGCTAAAATAATAGGTATTATTATTGCTTTGGTTTTACTTTTCCATCAGTAAATTTGAAAGCAAAATTTGAAAATATTTATAATCTAGAGAGCCTCAGCAATCTTGAATTAAATACAGTGACCAACTGTCTTAGTTTACTTGGGACTGAGAGGTACTTAGAGCTTTTTATTTTAAAACCAGGACAGTCCCAAGCAATCTTAGCATTAAAATCAGGACACTCTCAGGCAAACAGATCTAAGTTGTTTACTAGCATGAAACAGTATTGGAGTAAAGACAGTTTGGGGAAAAGGAACTTTAAAAAAAAAATCTTGCTCCTGCTCTTTCAGGATTTTTCAAATTTCCCCTCTGTCTACCTTCCCAGTCCAATAGTCAAGCAAGTTGATGTTAAGGACACTCTTATCTCTCTGGATCCTGAACAAGTCAACAGTAGTACTCGGAAGTCCTGCAAAAGCAATGACCGGTGCAAGCTTGAGCTCTATGTGAAATGCTCTGGATTTGAATTCAGACTTTTCCATTCATTAGCTGAGTGATTCTGTGCCTCCATTTTCTCAGGTATAAACAGAAATATTCATAATATTCAACTTATAGGGTTGTATGAACAGTGCCTGTTTCAAGAGTTCAAGGAAGTTAGTTATTTTTATTGTGATCTTTATTATGACTAGCAATGTAAGCAACTTGGAGCAAGCCATATTTACATTCACTGGGCTTAAAATAATAGTAGCCAGTAATAGTAGGCTCCCTATCTGGAGTCCCAGGAATAAAATTGCTACTTTTAGCAATCATCTGCAAGTGTGGCTTTCACTATCTAAGAGCTCAGTATTATTTTTGTTTGTTGATTTGTTTGATTTTCCTGTTCAAGAATTACACATGAAATGGCAGAAGAAAATTTTAAGCTTAGGACTCTTCCAGGAAATATAGTTTCTGTGGAATGGACAATTGGATGATAAATTATGGTTCTTTTGGGGCTAATTCTGCTTTTAGTGAAAGATGATAAATTCAACAGACATTTAAAAAATATTTTAATAAAGCTAGTTTATTGTATACTTTATTCAATGATTCTGAGATTTCATTAAGGAAGGCATGGTGATATTTATTCTCAGTCATGAAGGCTGGATGCAAAACAGAACATATAAAAGTTCAACATGCCACAGTTTGCTCTGGCTACCAGTAAACTTTGTTTCTATTAAAACTATAACAAAGGGAGACTACTGAAGGCAGGTTGTGAGTTGACTATGGAACTCTAGAGTATGAACTCAGTTCCTTCAAAATTGCATTGTTCTGAGTGTTAGCCTCTATCATCGAGGCCTCATCCCAGATAGGCAGTTGGGGGAGAGCTCAGTTCATGCCATTACCCCCTACTCCATTCCAGATGGAATTTGTGGTAGACGCTTCCTAATTAGCAGAAACAGACTTGTGCCTGATCTTTGACCCTTGTAATTTAGCCAACTACGTTTACTATGGGACATATAGTAAAGATAATTTGTCTGTTGAAATGTAATTGCAGGACCTAGATTTTTCACATGAAGTGTATTTCCAGCATCAAATACATCATTGAAAAACTTAGTTAAAATATTTAATTCTGACCTCAAAAATGAGATGGAAAAGCATAGAATTTGGTATATATCTAATTATAAAGCATTTAAGGGAAAATCAGATTATTTTTTCATAATTCAAATAATTTTTTCATAATATTCTATACCTTGAACCTCTTTTAAATTCAGTTATAGTAGTCATATCTTTTCAGTTGTTTACTTTCTTTGTACTTGTTTCAACAGATTCCTGACTCTCAGTATCAGATCCATCCTGGAACATATTCTGTATCATGAAACTTCCATTTAAAGTAAAAATGTAATGTGTATATATCCTATAGTTGCATTTAGATATGCTAGCTTAAATAGTGAACAGTACTTACACAGCTCAGTGTGCAAAACAAATCCTCACTTTTGTTCAACATTTCTGAGTTTTTTTATTAGAGTGCAATTTTTTATTTTTGGGGGGATACGTTAGTTTTTATTTTCCCTTGTACATGTAGACTGGCTTTCTACAAATGAGCAAGAATCTTCTGTACTTTGTGCTGCTCAAAGACATTAAGCCTTAGAGGAACTCAAAAAACAAAACCCAGCGTAGCAGTTGTCTAATCATGTCCCCTAATATTGTTTCTAATGTATTTTAGACACAAACTCTTGGCCTCACAACCCCAATAATAGATCGATTGGAAAAAGTCATTCAGTATTAAATATTTTCCCACGGAAATAAAGAATTCCCACAGGTTAAACAAGAATTTGACCTTTTGTTTTGAATAAGAAAATTGTCATGAAAGCTTTTAGAATACAGTCAGTTATACAAAGTCACAGTACTTTTGTTTGGCTTGCTTTTAATTAAAACAACAGTAATTCAGAACTATTACTTACTGTTGACAGTATTTGTAAGTTATTTATGTTTGTTCATTGCAGATGAAGATGTTTTGGGAATTATCCCCTTTATATATAACATTCTGAAATAAATGCACTTCTGAAAATGTACATGTTGAAAATCATAAAAATAAAGGGTCTTAGGTCATCTGCACTAAGAGAATTGGCTCATAATCTGTATGAATGTTAGGATTACATAGCCTTTGTCATTTATGCCTCTAATTACAAACAAGTACACTTTACATAAAAAGATTGTTAGTGTTATTTCCTTTTTTCTTTCTAATTAAATGCAAAAACTTGTGTATTCAAAAGCAAAAGGAGGAAGTTTTTTAGTGCTAATATGTGTCCTTAGTTAAGTTTAGATTTTGGTGAATAGTTCTATATTGCAATTCAATTTTAATGTTTTTCTATCGACTTTGTTTTACTGTTCAAGATTGGCCAAATGGAGCATCGAGAATTATGATTTTGAGTGCACAAGAATAGTCATTAAAAGGCTGCTATTAAAGATGCCATAAAACTGGATGAGTTGGTTCAGATTTTAGTAAGTATTAGTAATTTTGGTATTAGTCGGGTATTCGGAGATTCTAAACATTGGTTCCCATGATGGGAGAAAAACTCTTGGACAGGAAGGATAGCACCTAGTTGTCATCATTTTAGGAAACATTGAGTGGGCAGGGATGGAGATGGGTATGAGTTGGGGGGGGTGACTGGTTACTGTATAGTGTACCATTTACTATGTTACCACACAGACCACACAGCTTCTCCCTCTCGTTTACGATTTGCCCTCTTACACAAAGTTTGTGTCAAAATTTCTTGATGGCCAGTCAAGTGGAAAGTTACATTCTTAACAGCTTGGTTGTCAGGAAAGTAATATTTTTAAAGATATGGTTCATTTTCAGGATGAACTTTTTGGAGCTCCGAGATGACTTTTAACTCCTATCCTCTCCACTGCCCAATTCAGCAAATGGAAGAAGCAGGCAGGGCCCACTGGTAACGGATCCCAAATCTGTTGTTGGCCTTTGCCCTGAAAAGGAGTTCCTTGATCTGAGTTTGGCAGGGACAGAACGGAGAGTAACTGGCAGAAGCAAGCAAATAGTAGCAACGCTTGGGGGGCGAGCGGGAGACTCCCCACCCCCATCCCGCATCCCCAAAGGCAGCTGGCTGCAAGGAAAAATCTCTCTCGGGCACAGACTCGCTCTCCTCTCCTGAGAGGCAAGTTTCTTTGCCAGCGTTAGCCACCTGTGTGAGGCGCTCCCCGTGGGAAAGGTGGCCTGGGAGAAGCGACACTTGGTCACACCGCAAGGGAGCTTCTCTTGATGAGGCTGGCGGTCAAAGCACCTCCAGAACTCAGAGCTTTTAGGATGCAGAGTCCTCTCTGCCCTCGCACGTTGCCGGGATCGTAGACCAACATTCTCCCGTCTGGCACGCTCTGGAGCCGACTGACGCCTCCCCAGTTTGCCCGGCGTGCTCCAGGTCCTCTCTCTCCCACCTCCCCACCATCAAAGTAGTGCTCCCGCCCGGCTCTGCCCGCACACCCCCGGCGCGCCTGGGAGGGTTATCAGGCTCCCCACACACACCGCAGCTTCCTCGCGCGCCTGGCGCGAGCGACCCGGGCGGACCAGCGCCGCCTCCGAGCCCCCGATCCCAGTCCCCTCCTCCCACTCCCGGCCCCTGCGCCTCCGGCTCTTCCCCCACCCGCGCGGCGGCGCCCCCCGCGTTCCAGGTTCCATCCCGGGTTGGACCTGCTGCTCTGCTCATCCCCGCACTCAGCCTCTCGGTAAGCCCAGAAGTGGAATCTGCACACTGAAACTCCGGCGGCTGGAGCCGGCGGACTGGGCATGCTCAGAAGCCAGGGCTGGCTTGGGTCTCAAGTAGGAAGCTCTTGCACTCGGGAGGCAGCGGCGACTTTGGGGAAAGTTGATCGGAGAGGGGAGGAAGCCCCAAGACGCGGAGCAGCGGCAGGAAGGAGCCCCCGGCAGCCCGGAGGAGCATGGGCACCCTGCGGGATTTACAGTACGCGCTCCAGGAGAAGATCGAGGAGCTCAGACAGCGGGATGCTCTCATCGACGAGCTGGAGCTGGAGTTGGATCAGAAGGACGAACTGATCCAGAAGCTGCAGAACGAGCTGGACAAGTACCGCTCGGTGATCCGACCAGCGACCCAGCAGGCGCAGAAGCAGAGCGCGAGCACCTTGCAGGGCGAGCCGCGCACCAAGCGGCAGGCGATCTCCGCCGAGCCCACCGCTTTCGACATCCAGGATCTCAGCCATGTGACCCTGCCCTTCTACCCCAAGAGCCCACAGTAAGCAGGGGTTGCGCGCCGGGGCCAGGTGGCGCCCTGGCGGTGGGGAGCTGCGGGTCTCTGTATTGTCTGTTGGCCCCCGCCCCTCCCGCTTGCCATGTCTGTCCTCATCCTCAGAAATGTTTCATTTTCACGGGCACTTCTTGCGGGGCTGTGCACGTTTCTCAGAGCCAGACTCACTGCACATACGTTGCCTTCGTGTCTTTGTCAGATGCCAAGGTATTGTTTTTAAATATACATATACATTCATATGTGCCACCTAGTGTGCGTAGAGTTTGAACGCGTCCCAGGTGTGTGTCCGACCGTGTGTGAATGTAAGGGGAGGAATAAAAAGCTCCCCCGTCTCTCCGAAGCCCTGGCAAACCAGCCCAGCTGGAAAATCCTAAATGCAGGCTCATCAGACTTGAAATGAAAGGCGTCTGATATCACCCTTACTTTCTATGCTTTTGTGGCTCTCCCGGATTTCTCTACCTGCTGGCGCTGCACGCTGGTACCCTTCAAACCTGGTGTTCTGTCATCATCAAAGTGTAAAAAAAATAAGCAAAAACGCATATGAAAGAAAAGATTTTTAGACTTCCTGAATTGGATGACATTTACAATCCATAAATGGAAGCCTAGTCTGTTGATTTTTAAAAAAATATTTTTTCGTAACATCTGAGGGAGAAGACTGCTTATTTTCCTTAAGGAATTTGCATAATGTTACTAATGGAGCAGCTCCCTCTTCCAAGAGGGTTGCCTATTCCCAGGGTCAAATCTAGATAAGCACACCTACCTTATTTACAATGTAGATACATTGTTTGCCTTACTCCTGTCTTCTAATGCAGCCACTCTGGTATTGTTTTTTGCATTTTGGAGAACTGTGGAGTTCTGATGTAAGTGGGCTTCATAACTTGAATCGGGAAAATTGAATGAAACTTGTTATACAACACTCAACTCGGAGTCCATATAGTGAGTAAAGAAACAGGAACATGAGGTTTACACAGAATGTGGGAGAACACTTAAATGAACAGTATTTTTAATTCATAGATAATGACATAATTGATGAAACTAAGGCTCTTACTACTCTACTAACAATATCACATTGGCCAAATGACATGTGTTACATAATAATACAAGGTCCCTCGAAACCCTTCATTTCCTAAACACAAGAAATTAATATAAGGAGAAAGTAAATGTTTGATTATCTCTGTTGGTATTTATTAGATTTTGGGGGGAGAGATCCTGAGTATGCACGTGTTATACTTTTGAAAACTTAGAGTTATACCTATATGGTTGTCTTCCATGGAATGCTTTCCGTTCCATGCGTAGGTTTAGCTTAAGGAGGAGTTTGTATTTTGCGGAGGAGTAAGGGAGAGACAATAAGGATAAACATTCCTGGGATCCTGACCTTACTAAGTTGCCGTGATAGTTCAGCAGACGTAGATCTGCCTTATAAACCTGAGTGATCTGAATCCTCTTCAACTTTCTCTAGTAAATTAATTTGCAGTCCTGACATGCTTGCCTGTTTTAGCTAACAAGGTACATGACCATCTCTCCTGGGCCAAGTTTTGCATAATGAAAAAATACTCAAAGACTGCTCTCTGCATCTTTAAGCATTCCATAGGATCTCATTTTAGTATCGTCAGAACTTTAGAGTAAAACAGAGAACACTCCTCAGCCTTTATAAAAAGACCATTTTAATAGGTTTTCTAATGAAGCATGATCATGCCAGCTGATAACTCCAGTTAAACATTCTATCAGAGAAGATCTAAAGAAATCTAGGCAGTAGGGGAACAACTGTGCAATGTGATAATTTAGAAGCCTTGTGGTGTTTGACACATAGAATAATTAGATTTTAAAACCAAAAGTCCAATGAGGGAAAACAAAATTAGTGTGGCAAATAATTTACACTATCCTGTGATAATAAACATTTTATCTATTGAAAAATATTGTGCGTTCTGATATTTATTTAATAATCTGTATTTTAAAGAGCTCAACCATTAAGATATTGCCATGATGGTTTTGATAATTTTGAAGTATTTTATTGAAGAAAGTGATAGAATGTCTTCCAAGCTTAAATAAATTTGGAAAAACATCTGTTCTTTTCTCACACTTACATAAAGAAAACTAGAATAAAATTGGCTTGAGTAGTAGAAAGCGTACCTTTCTTAGAGGAAAAAGAAGTAAAGTGTATGCAAAATGATTATATCTTATATCATTTGAATGGTTGTACAAGGTAGCTCCTCAAAAAACTAAGAAATCCCGCCAAACTGAAGAAGACTTGTTGGCATTTCAATTTATTTCACTATGAATAATTTGATTATACAGACTCACTGGCAACAAGTGTTTATGGTTTTATCTTTCATCTTTACTATATCTTAAATTTAGCCATCTTTCTTAAACTTACACATAGATTATTGTGAGTTCAAGTTGAAATAGACTAAAATTAATTTAAAGTTCACATTCATGTTAGTTTTCAATTCTGTTTCCTGATCATGTAGGTAACTGCCCAGTAATGTTCTGTTCAATTATCTGATGTATGCAAATATGTTTTCTTTTCTGCTGACTTAGGTTGCCTTCTGAGGATTGTAATTTTTTAAAAATTGTTTTCTTAGTAACTTTCGGTTATCTAAAAGTAATGTAAAATGTAAACTAACTTAATATCTTTAGACATCTTAGAGTTTTGGGTTTGGAATTTTCCCTTTAATGTGAGAATTGGAGGGAAGGTTCTGTCAGATTCCAGCATACAGCCAGGACACTCCTGCTGCACCTGTGAGGTGGGAAGAGTGTTTTGATGGTCTCGTTCACAACCTATAGAGGTACAGTCCTTAAGCTTTTCTTATATTATGAATGCAAAGCAAAAAACGGATGTGGCAAATTGGAATCTATATTCCATTAGTACCAAATGACTACTTGAGAAACTAAAACTACTAGACTGTATATTTTGATATAAATCGAGAAAATTCATTCTTAAAATAAGAAAAGCACCAATTATATGAAACCAGCCTATTGGATGTGTATATGGAATGGTTCTTATGGATTTTTTTTTTTTTTTTTTAGAAAGCAGTATTTATTGAGAGGACAGAAAAGCTCCCACAGTGGGAGGGGACCCGAGGGAGTTGCCCCTTGTGGACTTTTATTGTAATTTTATTTTATAAAATTCTATTCCTGAAAATTAACTCTATAATTGGTTAGATCATTCAGTCTCTGATATTTGATCTAAACCTTTTCATCTTTTGAAAAATATTCCCAAATCTTTTCCATTTTGTTGACATTAGGGCTTCATGTCATTTTAGTTGGACTATATAGACTTGAATTCCTAAAAGTTGTTTGTGTCTCCATATTTTTGTTAAGTTGTTGCTTTTCATCCCAGAAGTAACTGGTTTTCAGAGAATCATGGCATATCCTGCTCTGTTTCACTTTTTGATTGTGAAATACTTTGGAGAAGCTGAAGATTAAAAAGTACGTTTTCATTTTTAAGAAGGTGCTAATTTTAATTTTAAAAGTGATCTTATATGATCTTTTAAACCTTGACACTAATGTATCTCAAGAGAAATCGAATTTTCCTAAAGGCTGTATGATAAATTCTGTAGAATGTTGAGAGAATTCTAGATTTCTAGTGTAATCAGAAATGACATGATCTTGAAACATCGATTTTTTAAAGGTAGAAATTAAATTCTATATATGCCTTACAACTCAGTTCCATACTTTTATGGGACGTCTGCCACATGCCAAATATTGTGAGGCATTAGAGATGAGAGATACATATGTCTTGCCCCAAAAAGTGAACAAGGGGTTAGCAATTGTGCACAAGAAAATATTCAATAAAGTAGAGTAAGGTACGTCACAGAGGAGGTAACTAAGATAGTTGGCAAAAATATAATCAAGCCTTTTAGGTTTCTGGCATCAGAAACTCTTGTGGAAGTAAAGGTATTTAGAGTGAGTGTTTGAAGGATGGCCATGATGTAGGTGAGTGGTAATGAGATGAAAAGGGGTGGGGTGTGGGAGAGATACATTCCAAGCCATTGGCAAAGAGAGAAGACAAAAAGAAAACGGGACCCATCTGGGGATTGGCAGCAACTAGTGGCTGTGCCAAAGGCAAAGTACTGTGGTAGGAATTGAGGAAAAGCAAGTTTTGGCCAGCTGGAATAAGAATCTCAATTTCAATAATTTTATAAAATAGGTGAGAGGGCATCCTGCTTGTTTTTAGAGTAATTAAAAATTGTGTGTGTGTGTGTGTATGTGTGTATATGTGTGTGTGTGTGTGTTTGTGTGTGTGAGAGAGACAGTGAGAGAGTGAGAGAGAGTGAGAGTGAGAGAGAGAGAGAGAGAGAGAGAGAGAGAGAGAGAGAGAGAGAGAGAGAAACCAAATATTTATTTTACCCACTAGTAAAGTTCTGAATCTCAGAATGTCAGTTCATTCCTCTAAGCCCTACTAGCACAGTCCTGATAATAGCAATAACTATACGAACTAGGTAAGAGTGTTTAAGATAAGCAAACAGCAGATGATGGAAACTCTTAAAGAAATCAAATTCGACTCGTAAAGGAACTAAATTCCTTTTCCCCCTCACTTCAAAATGTTCCCATTGAACATAATCTAAATTTATGCCACAGATTAGCACTGCAGATTCCTCACATACCTAGGCAAACTGGACATAGATGAGAATTGAACCTGAAGTTGGTTTTTGAAATTCATCTTTCCTGTTTTAATTCTGAACTAATGCTGTTCTAATAGACTTTCCAATTTAAGTTTGATTGTTAATTTGACATTACAGTCTACGCAGTAACGTTAAAGTCATGGAAGCCTTTATAAAAATGTGTGCGACCAGGTTGCTAAACTCCATTAGGGTGTTTTGAAGCACAGTCAAGTTGCATGCCCCTAAAATGGGGCTTATAATGAAAATACTGGCAAACCCTTAAATAGAATAGCTCTAGAGTCTGCCTGAGAATATAAATGACTGGCTCCCTTGTTCTGCTGGGTCACATTTGCAAGCTTCTGCTACTTGTTATTTTGCTGAAGA